CTATATATCTACTGTTATTATGGTTGAGTTAAAACGCCAAAAAATTATAAAAAAAAAAAAAACTCCATACCGTTGATGCCATTTGTTTTCCAACATGTCCTCCAGCTGCATATATGTTTTTGAAATGTTTCCAAAACAGCAACAAAAGCTTTACGTTATGCGTCCATTTTTTCTTCCAACTTTCAAAAAGCAGGACGGTGGAACGCGGTCATCACCGACATGACAGAAACTCCTACTTCCCAGTTCTGATTCATTTGAAAATTGAACACACAACAAGTGTGGGGTCTTCATAACATCTGCAAATATCATTTTAAAAGATTGTCAGCAGCTTATTTATCTTTAACTATGATTTAGGATTAACTCTGTGCACACAACTAATGAGATCCAGACAAGCGCCAGTCTGAGCAAAAACAGAACCGGAAGCCCTGGCTGAAACAAACAAAGAGAGGGACAAAACAGTTGACCATCAGATTCAAGCACTGCCCCCCTCATCCTCCAGTCCATGCATTTACCCTGCAACCAAAAACCTGGTAAAACAGGACAGCCGGTAAGTCCCAGACTCAACTATACAAACATCAACAAAGTGACAGTAAAATGGTGTCAATAGATAAGAGCGAAGCTGGAGAGCAGGACCCACAAAGCACCACACCTCTCCTCTGGCCTCCCTCGCTCCGAATAGATGAGCTTTTTTTAAATCTCTTACAGCCAATCCACAATGAAGAGGGGACACACAATCAGAACTCTTTAGTTGATACAAAGGACATGTCACAAACTACTAAATGGCTAAAAACTGAATAAGTAAATTTTGGGAAATGAGGCACTTTATTCAGTGCCCTTATTGGCAATGTTTAAAAATAGTTTGTATCACAAGTTTCTCCGAGTTTTATTTTGTTACTGAATAGCTGACATGTTTGGGAGCTTCTGATCTAGGTTCAGTTMAAATATCGCAACAAAATGTCAAACTTGTTCAAAAAAAATAAACAAGTAGAAAAAAAGGATCATTCAATAAGATTTTGAATAAATGCTAAATGGGCTTCCCATACATTCTGCCACTCAGCCCTTCTCTTCACATCCCTCCACGTTAACCAGATTTGCTGTGATGCTGCTTTGATAAGTCAAAGTGCCTTTGACGTCATGTGACCTTCGATGCTCAGAGATTTTAAATTAATGATAAGTCTGTAGTTTTCATGGRTTTCTTACCCTCTCAGTGTTCATAATATCTGATAAACTTCCTCTACTTTAATTAGAAAGGACAGTACCTTAATGTGTACTTTATTATTAGATTATGCAGCATCTCAATGACAAACAGCTTCCTCCTGTTTGCAACTCGGCCTGCTTATTTGTGGAAATTTGCAACTCTCCTGTCCAGCCCTCACTGCAGCATCTGGCTGGTCAGCTTTTCTTAATGTAATATATATTTAAAGAAAGATTATTAGGGAGCAAATTCAATTCTGCCAATGTGTTGAGCTGCTGAGTCTGCAGAGAACTGCTGCYCAGGAGCTCAGTTTAAAGTCTTTGACCTCCGGGAAGGTGGTAATTGAAGCGTGCAGGAGGCGAAGAGGAACCTGGCCAGAGAGGAATATTTTATTTGTATTTATCTTTGCTTGCTTCAAATGTGCCGGAGAGGACAGAAAATAAATCATTACCTGACTTGAGCGAGAAAAGAAGAAAAAAAAAGAAGGTGTCTGTGTTTATTCGTTCAGCTCAAATCCCTTTTAATCGTCTCAGCCTCGATGAGGACAGATTTTGGCAAAGTTACAGAAGACTGAAAGAGGTAGTGACTCATCTYCTGCAGAAACAAAAAGCCATTCTCAGACAAGAAAAGACTGTTTGTTACAATAAAGACCGTGAAATCCATTAGAATAATCTTCAACTTTTACTAAAAGCTCTTATTTACCAATAATCAAGGCCTGCAGAGGAGATCAATTAGTATTCTCTTTGAAAACTAATTACTGCACCACCACCCACAGTACACCCTGTCTACATGCATGCACACACAACTCTCCTCCATCTTTTTTTTTCTTCCTGCTGGCGTGTCTCTGGAAGTCACTTGGTAATTTGTACCTGCCAAAATAAAAAGTGTGGCGTTTGTTTAAGCTCGCAGATGCTACAGACGGGCAGTATAGAACAGCCCAACATCTCATCACGGGACACATCAACCTCCTCTCAGTGTGTGTGTGTGTGTGTGTGTGTGTGTGTG